GCGCCGAAGCCCCGCCCCGCCCCTCGCAAGCCCCACCTCCGGATCGGGGCTGGTCCGCTGGCGCCCAAACTAGGGCTCGTTCCTGCTGTGCGCTCCTCCCCCCGCGTCCCCGGCACCGCCTTATCGTTCCTCCCAGGCGCGCGGGAGCCCCCGCAGACCCTTATCTGCCACCCCCAGCGCCCCGAAGCCCCGCCCAGGACCCCACCTCCTAGGACCGCCCCCTCCGGATCGCTGAGACGGCCCGCCCCGCGGGGCGGGGCTGCCTTTGCACCTGCCCGCGTCGACCGGTGCAATACTACGCGTCTCCAGCAGGGGCGCGCGAGGCCGGCCCGGGGCGCCCCTCGTGCGCGGACCACCTGGAGCCCGCGCCGCCAGGGCCCCCTAACCCTGCAAGGACCTTCTCAGCGGAATCACCCGGGGCAAGCCACGCTCAGTTTTCTCATGTGAAAAACGGAACCCCCGAATACACAGCAGCATGCATTGATGGACCATTATGTGCAGGGAGAGAAGCCCCGATCAAAGACAGCCTACTATACTGTCTGATTCCTTTTGTAGAAAATTGTAACAAGAGCGGGAGGAACCTGGGTGGGATGGTTGGAGGGGTGGGGTGGGGGGCTTGGATACGTGCAGTATCTTGAATGGTGGTGATTTCACGGGTCTGAAAACTCATCTGAGTGTACTTTAAATGTGTGTGGTTTACTGTCAATTACACCTCAATAAAGCTGTAAAAACATTTAAATACCTAGAATGTAATGGGATGCAGGGAAGGGTGTGGTAAAGAGAGAGCTGCTGCTTCCTGGAGTTTTCTGGGCTGTAATGTTTATGGGGGAGAAAGACGGGTTTGGTGTGGTTTGGTTTGGGGGGTGGAGGGGTTTCTACTCCCATAAGGTGTGGTTTGGTTTGGGGGGTGGAGGGGTTTCTACTCCCATAAAGAGTTACAGTCCCGGAAAGTCACAGAGGCAGTTCTAGCTTGCTCTGGAGTGGCATTGACTCCGTTGTAGTGAGTTTGTCCTTCTGAGGTTTTAAGCTAACGGAGAGAGTGCTGGTTGTGCATTGGGCCGTGACCCACAAGGGCAGCAGTTCAGAATCATCACTGACCAGTTGTGTGGGAGAAAGGGCTCTCTACCCACAAAAAGGGCTGCAGGGTTGCTATGAGTCAGAATTGACGCGATGGCAGTGATTTTGGGGTTTGGTGGATTGTGCCTTCAGCTACCAACCACAAAGGTAGAGGTTCAAGTCCACACAGAGGCACACAGAACAAATGCCTAGGGGCTAAAGAGTCCACAG